CAGCCACATGCAGAAGAATGAAACTGGACCATTTCCTTACACCACACACAAAAACAGACTCAAAATGGATAAAAGACCTAAATGTGAAGCAGGAGTCCATCAAAATCCTACAGGACAGAGATTCTTAACCTTTCCTGGGCCCTAGATCTTTCTTGGAATCCAAAGAAATCTATGGATTCTTTCACCAAAAAACAAAACAAAAACTCAGGTTCTGATATAAATATCAAATTTGCATACAACACAGGTAATTCATAGATCCATGAGCTACATAGGTGGGTCACTGAGCTCTATTTGTCTATCTAAAACTTTTAGGTGGATAATATAATTCTACAGATTCAACAGAGCTTTTTTTTAAAAGAAGCATAATCAGCCATCAAAAAACCCGAAATCTTGCCATTTGCAACAATGTGGATGGAACTAGAGCGTATTATGCTAAGCGAAATAAGTCAATCAGAGAAAGACAAGTATCATATGATCTCACTGATATGAGGAATTCTTAATCTCAGGAAACAAACTGAGGGTTTCTGGAGTGGTGGGAGGTGGGAGGGATGGGGTGGCTGGGTGATATACATTGGGGAGGGTATGTGCTATGGTGAGCGCTGTGAATTGTGTAAGACTGATGAATCACAGACCTGTACCTCTGAAACAAATAATACATTGTATGTTAAAAAAAAAAAAAGAAGAAGAAGAAGATAGCAGGAAGGGAAAAATGAAGGGCGAGAAATTGGAGGGGGAGACAAACCATGAGAGACTATGGACTCTGAGAAACAAACTGAGGGTTCTAGAGGGGAGGAGGGTGGGGGGATGGGTTAGCCTGGTGATGGGTATTAAAGAGGGCACGTACTGCATGGAGCACTGGATGTTATACGCAAACAATGAATCATGGAACACTACATCAAAAACGAATGATGTAATGTATGGTGACTAACATAACAATAAAATCAAAAAAAAAAAAGAAAAGAAGCACAATCTAGTGCAATTTACCTCAACTATTACAATGTTTTTATGAGTCTGGGTTTATAAAACTTTCCAGGATGATTAACATGTTAATAGGCCCAACTAGACAGTTATTATATTGCCATAGGTATATTAGAATCTTGTTTACATTTCTATAATTTTATTGCCTTTTAAAATCAAATTGTTTTGTATAGTTATTATATCTACGGGAAAGTTATAATATGATATAGCTTCCCCAGTACAAATTTTTACAATTACGGAATTTCTTTGCAAGAAATTGTAAATTTCCACCACCAGTGGCCACTGTTACAGAAAATTAATTCGTCGGCCAAACTCACACTCAAATTCAAAGATAATTGTATTTTCAAGTAGAAACATGACCCTAATGTTTTTGATTAATTAAAAATCAATGAATTTCTAATGAGATTATCAATTCACATTGCTATACTTTTGATAAGATTTTTTTCCCCTCTCAAAGCATATGCTATATGCTCTGGGGAGAAGATCAGTGGAATTTGATTAGGTTAAGGAACAAGCAAGGTCAGTGAAATGTTTGTCTATCAAGTTTACAAGTGTCCATCTCTATCAGTTTTTCTTTTTACATAGAAAAGTAATGGGGCAGGATTGATAGAAAACTGCATTTTATCTAAGTAAAAAACAAGATAAAATACCGATACTTTGGCACCAGGATGTGTATAAATAAAAATGGCTCAAGTCTTCAGTTGTGTCTTCCACCAGCTTTGAAAAGCTGTACTCTGGCATTGTTGACGCCACATTAACTAGCAGACAAGTAGGAGATGGCCAAAAATTATGCAGTTTTGAGGGATTAAAAAAAAAATCTATGCAGCATAAAATAAATTTGGGGTTTTGCCGTATAATGCTAAAACAAAAAAATCTTTGCAAACTTTCTCAAATTGAAACTATTCTACAATATTCCTTCAACAAGTGTTAACTGGACAGTATAAGTGGAATTGCCTTTAGGAGCTAAGGCTACAAAGGCATCAGAATGCTTCCAGCCAAGTTTAGCCAAGTAGTGGAAGCAGGCGACATAAATCACAGCGGTGAGCCCCAGAGGACAGAAAGACTGAAGAGTTTTAGGGCTGACCGGGATTCGCTCTCACCAGACCCTCCCTAGCACTGATTCCTTAGGTTCGCTGAAAAAAAAAAAAAAAAAAGGATTAAGCTTCGGGAAGCACAGCGCAAACAACCACATCCCTAAACCAAACTGTTTAAGTCTGACAATACGGCAGAAAACGTTATTTCAAGACTACCTCGGAGATCCGAAAGAGACCCTTAAGGTAAGAGGTGCTATGAGCCGCCTACCTCAGGGCCGAGGCCACGCCCCCGAAGGAAAAGGCCCGCCCCTCGATCCCAGAAGGCCGCCGGGCGATCAGTACGCGTGCGCGGATTGCGTTACATCCGGCGCCAGGGCACTCGATTCCGGAAGGGACTGCACAGTTGTGGCGGCGATTTCTGTGTTGCTGACTAGCGTTTCTTGTCTCCTGGAGCGGCGCGTTACACTGCAGCATCATGGTCGAGGTAAAGTGGCACTTGAGCGCTGAGGGGTCGTTCGCATCTGGAATGTTTTTGGCGGCTGGCGTGGGGGAACGAGGGTGTTTCGAGTTTGGGGAAGGTAGAGGCTGCGAAGGGAGGCTCTCTGGCCGAGGCCGGGTAGTCTCTTCTTAAGGTTTTCAGGGATAGAGGGAGGCCGGATGGGAGCACTAGTTGGAGGTTACCCCCGGGGGTTGAGAAGCCTGAGAGAATTTCTACAGTTCTTATTTGACCCTTGAGCTCGGCATTGCCCCCGGAGGCAGTGCTTCTGGACCCCTGGAATTCACCGTCTGCAGAGTAGTGTCAGTGGTTGTGTGTCCTAAAAGACTGGCAGTCCTCTCTGGTGTTAAGTTTGTGCCTTCCTTCAGCTCTTCCCCAGGAAAACCTGCCATTTTGAAGTTTTGCATCAGCTGTTCTGTTAGCCAGCCTTGTCCGTCTTAGAAATATTTCTTGATTCTTGTCCATATCCACTGTCTTCACCTTAATTCAGACCCACATCATCTTCCCTCCGGGCAAGTGCATTTGCTCCCTGCTGGTGTTCCTGCTTCCATTTTTGTTTCACTCCCCCTCCCCCCCCGAAAATTGATCTGTTTAAAAATGTAGGTTGATCATTTTTTTTCCTGCTTAAAATCCTTTATTGACCCGATGTTATTAGAGCAAAAGGATAGACTATTGCAGTGATCTAAAAAAAAAAAAAAAATCCTTAACTTGGTGTGGACTTTTGTCTACCCTTGGAACCTCATCTCAGCATCACAGTCCACCTTCCTATGGAACATACACAGTTCTTTTGCAGCTCCCGCCATCATTGCAGCTACTAGACTCCTGTGTAGGTGGCATTTTCTCTCTGCCTGGATTGTTCTTACCTCTATTCTGCACAAGGCTAACTCTGCTTAACTAACACCTCAGAAAGATCTTTCATAACTATCCTAAGTATTTTCTCTGCCCCAGCCCCTTGCTTGTTTCCTTCATAGCACTTACCAAAATGTGTTGCTTATTTTTGTTTTCTCTTGAGAACTGGGACCATGGCTGCCTTTTCATCATTCTTTTGTTAGCTTCTAGCACAGTACCTGCCAGACACATGGTAGGAGCTCAGTAAATATTTGTTGAATAAATGACTAAGCTCAGGCATCACTAATTGGTATACCTGGGGCTCTGGCCAATGAGGAGTTTCCTCTTCTCTGAATTTGACTTCTATAGCTTGCTACAAATAGCTGTGGTGAATGGTACAAAGCTTTTTACATATTTAAACATGTAAAGTGTATAACTAATTTGACTTTAGGTTATGGTATGTGTAATTTGTAGCTAGGTATGTGATTATATTCTTTCTTTCTAGGAGGTACAGAAACATTCTGTGCACACACTTGTGTTCAGGTCATTGAAGAGAACCCATGACATGTTTGTAGCTGATAATGGAAAACCTGTGCCTTTGGATGAAGAGAGGTAGGTATTGTTCCTTTTCAGTTGCTAGAATATTTAAGCTTCTAATGTTGGGGGAAGAGAGCAGGGAGAGGGGGACCTTTAAAGATTAGTGAGTGGTACTAACATAGGATATCTGTTCAGTAATGAATGGTGTTTGGGCATGATTTAAGCTGATTTAACTTTTTTTTTGGCCTTGTCTTTCACAGTAAAAAACCCATTAATTAATTGCATTTATAAATACCCAGTAATTAGGAGAGTCCCTTTTAGGTGTTATATTTTATAATCAATCACTTTGTATGTGCTTTCAGCTTCCCGCTGCTCTCAGAGCCTTGCTGAGCTGAAATTGTACCTGGCCAGTACCTCTACTCCCATCTTTTCTCGTTAGTATGATGAAGATTTTTGAGCGGTGGCATATTTTTGGTTCTACATCTCCAGCTCCAGTCTGGGATTGCATTATGTGCAGTGTTACTTCTTTGTCCTTTACCCTTTTAAAATCTACTTAATTCCTAAGACAAGCATTTATATTTAATTTATAAAGTGAGCTATTTTTAAAATTAATATAAGTGCATTTCTTTTAAAAATATTGGACTAATTAAGTACTTTGGTTAGTTCTAATTAATCTTTTTAGATACATCCAGTAAGGGTTATGATAGAAGCTTTTACTATACTTTTATATTTACACATTTGAAGGAAAGTATATTGACTTTGAGGTTTTTAAAAGGATATATTAGTTTCTATATATTTTTAAATCAAACCCTGGATAATTTATCATGAAAGGTTTTATATTTATTGGTTAACAAACTAAAATGTTACTTAGACTTAATGGATGCTATGTGGTGGATTGTGAACAAAAGTGTGGAAATGCACTTGGAAGTTTCGAGCTTTTTAAAATACTATTTAACTTTAAAGACTTCATAGAATTTTTTCTACATGATTAGGCAAACCTAAGCTTTTTAAGTACTTGAGTTTCTTGGCTATCTATGAATATATTTCCATTGGGTAATATATTAAAGCACTCAAAGATACATTCTTATGTTCATAATTTTTAAATAGTCACAAACGGAAAATGGCAATCAAGCTGCGTAATGAGTATGGTCCTGTGTTGCATATGCCTACTTCGAAAGAAAATTTTAAAGAGAAATGTCCTCAGAATGCATCGGATTCATATGGTCATAAACAGTATCCTGCCAATCAAGGTGAGTATGTGTTATCAGAAATGTCAGGACTTTAATATTTTAAAAACGGAAAAATGAAATGTTTTAGTGCCTACCCCAAAAGGACTGATTAGAGCCATAACCTATTGAACAGCTATACCGGTATTATGGTGGAAGTGTTGATTTTCTCATTGGAGTGTGAGTTGAGATTATTGGTTGGTGGATTTTTTCTTATAGGAAATAAAAAAAAGTGATAGAATAATAATGGCAGAAATTCTTAGGATATAGAGAAGGTCACAGTGGAGACTAAAGGAAAAATTTCTAACCCATGGAAAGACCATCTATCTGTTTTGGCTATCATTCAGAAAAGTGACATTAAGCACTGACATTGCAGTGAATAAAGATAATCTTAAGATTCCACAGAGAAATCATTTGCTTGGAAGAAAAACCAGAGTGGGTTGTTATTTGATAGGATGATCTCTCTACACACCATTACAGTTACACAGCTTTCTTAACATCATATTAGTAAATGGTCAAGGAAATAGCTGTGTATATGGTCCTCAGAAGTCAAAACATAAATCAATATATCTTGGTTCTGAGGTTTGGGTTTAGTTGGGAAAATTTGGGAAATTTGGTTGGTAATTCAATATTCATTAAAAGATAATTATATATATATATATATGATAAATTTGCCATTGATGATGATGATGATTCCTCTTCCTTTTTTAAGGACAAGAAGTTGAATATTTGGTGACGGGTACACATCCATATCCATCAGGACCTGGTAAGTGAGCTATTACATACTGAAAATATCTTACAGACATTTCCATGAATGAACCAATAATATGATTCTAATTGCCTGTAAAATGCAAGACAAGCTCAGTAGCCAGGCATCCAGGCGTAGCTTTTTAGATGATAATTAATACTCAGTTTCATACGCATTCATTCAAACATTCTTAAGAACCTACATTTTTTCAGGTGCTATGCTAGGGATTCAAAGACAGTAAGAGTGCTCCAGGCTAAAACATGCTTATATGGAAGTTTAAACAGACGTGTTGTTATCACTAAACTTACAAAAGCGATAGAAGTGTTAGTATAGAAGCAGGTATGAATGATAGAAATGTCTACTAGATGTCTGTGTGTGTAGACAGTTGGCACATAAATGGAGTGGCTAGTATAATGGGGTGGAGGACAAAAAGCTTAGTATATCTAGGTTCTAGTAATTTTAGAAGATGGAATTTACCATATTGAAAGTACAGGTAAATTGGTGCTTCTTGCTTAGTAATTTACATTCATTCTTGAAAACATTTGGGAACTGCTTACGGTAATGTTCCAAGATAATAGAAATTTACTATCTTGGGTATGTTAATACCAAGCTACTTGTGATTAAGTCAAATTTGAGTTATGTGGTTTTAAGTTATATTTATTATAAAAAAGTTAGAAATAAAAGACAAAACATAAGAGAAGTTTTTGTAATATTACCATCTGGAGATAATCACATATTTTCTTCCAGTATTTTATTTTAAACCCATGTAAATGAAATCAAAGGTAGCTACTAGAAGGAATTGATTTATTTATTTTTTTAAACAGGGGTTGCTTTGACAGCAGATACTAAGATCCAGAGAATGCCAAGTGAATCAGCCGCACAGTCCTTAGCTGTGGCATTACCTTCTTCTCAGACCAGGTATGAAGTATTATGCTTATAATTACAGAGATTTTGAAAGCATAATTGGTTGTTTACATTTTTTTCTCATTTTTAAGATTTCTTTATAATTATGTGTTATGTGACATTTTCCTTTATCATTGCTTACAAAAATTTAAAGAGTTGGTTCTGCACAACACAAGACTGGAGACAATTACTTACAATGTGATACTTCCTTTGCCTCAGGGTTGATGCAAATCGTAGTGCACCTACTGGAGGTGAATACCGACATCCAGGGGCTTCTGACCGTTCACAGCCTGCAGGGATGACTTCAGTAAGTTTCTCTGTGTCAGTTCGCGCTGCAGGTTTCCATCTTTTGGAGCTCGTTGCCTTATTTCCCTTTATCCCAAGAATCTGAGGTTAAATGTTAAATAAATGAAAAATTTCCTTGCTTGTCATTAAAGTAAATAGCAGCTGACTGAGCCAGTTAATATTTAATAGCCCTAAAATTTAAGTTACTAGTGATTTTGCATATTTTTTAGAATTTAAAATTCTAAATTCTGTGTCTGTTGCACATTGTATCTAATACTTATCTTGATATAGGTAGTGTGATGTTACTCTTATTGTCCACTATTAAAAATACGAGGAATGCTATTGTGAAACTTGTATTAGTATGTGTTAGATACGAAAATCTCTCTTTTTTTTAAATTCTTAAGTTGGTTTACACAGTTTGAGTTGAGTGCTGTTAGTAATGTAATATTCACAGGCTGTAGAAGTAGTATCTTATAAATGAACATTTAGAAATAGGGAAGTTTATTTATTTGTAAGTAAATGGCAGCTAATGTTACTGGTGAAAGTAATTACAAAAAGAATAACTGAAAATATCTAGTTTTTTTATCATGCTGTCACTTGAGTAACTGCAGGCTAAATGAATGAATTTGTGGTCTTCCCACCACATTTCTTCTTTTGCCTTCATTCATAGATCTCTGCCCAGGTTTTCTGTCTCCTAAGGAGGAGGTAATATAAGCTTCTTGATGGTAGGAACTTAGGGACTTAAGTATTTTTGGGGTGGATGGATGGATGCTCACCATAGTAGATGGTATATCGGCTGGAATACCTTTTAAAATAGTCCTTAAACTTCTCCAAAGGCAAGGAAAACAAAGGCAAAAATGAGCTATTGGGATTTCATTAAGATAAAAAGGGTTTTCACAGCAAAGGAAACAGTTGACAAAACCAAAAAGACAATCTACAGAACGGGAGAAGATATTTATGGAAGTTTATCAGATAAAGGGCTAGAATCCAAAATCTTACAAAGAATTTATCAAGTCAACACCCAAAAAACAAATAATCCAGTCAAGAAAAGGACAGAAGACATGAGTGGACATTTCTGCAAAGAAGACATACAGATGGCCAACGGACACATGAAAAAATTCTCAACATCACTTGGCATCAGGGAAATCCAAATCAAAACCACAATGAGATACGACTTCACACCAATCAGAATGGCTAAAATTAACAAGTCAGGCAGGAAACAACAGATGTTGGCAAGGATGTAGAGAAATGGGAACCCTCTTACACTGTTGGTGAGAATGCAAGCTGAAAAACAGTATGGAGTTTCCTCAGAAAGTTAAAAATAGAGCTGCCCTATGACCCAGCAATTGCACTACTAGGTATATACCTGAAAGATACAAATGTAGTGATCCGAAGGGGCACCTGCACCCCAATGTTGATAGCAGCAGTGTCCACAAGAGCCAAACTATGGAAAGAGCCCAGATGTCCATCAACAGATGAATGGATAAAGAAGAATGGTATAAATACGATAGAATATTACTCAGCCATCAAAAAAATGATACCTTGCCATTTGCAATGACGTGGATGGAACGAGAGCGTATCATGCTGAGCGAAATAAGTCAGACAAAGACAGTTATCCTCTGATTTCACTCATGTGTGGAATTTAAGAAATAGGAGCCTAGGGGAAGGGAGGGAAAAATAAAGTGCAATCAGAGAGGGAGGCAAACCATAAGAGACTCTTAACTCTAGGAAACAAACTGAGGGTTGTGGGAGGGGGGTGGGAGGATGGGGTAACTGGGTGATGGGCATTAAGGAGGGCATGTGATGTAATGAGCACTGGGTGTTATATATAAGAGTGATGAATCACTGAACTCTACCTCTGAAACTAATAAACTATATGTTAATGAATTGAATTTAAATTAAAAAAATAAAATATTAAATATTTTTTGGAAGAGAGTTTCTTTTTGCTATTAAGTCGATAATGTTAAAATACAACAATGAAAGGCAATGACATTAATCCAATTACAATTACTCAAATAATAATAGGAGCTTACACAGCATCTACAGAGTAGTAACACTATTTTCACAGTAACTGTCTGAGATAGGCACTGTTCTTTCCATTTTACAAAGCAGGCACAGAGGTTATATAATTTTTGCCTAAAGCCAGTTAGCTATTAATTAGCAGAGCAGTGTTCATGAACCCACACACAGTGATATGTGCTCTTAACTTTAATATTCTGCCTCTGAGATTTTTTTAATTGATTTTTAAAATTAAAATTAACATACGGAAAATACAGTTCTGATTAGAAGTCTCAGTTATGACATTTTCTATTCAACTATTTTGGCTTTTCCTCTTCAATTAAGGAAAAACTTCTAAATCCCCTTTTTGAATTCTTTTTTGAATGAACATGACATGTTAGATATGTCTTTAATGATAATGTAATCTGTTCTCTATCTAGGCCGTTATGGAGGCTGGCAATGCCAAGAACTCTGCACTGATGGCTAAAAAAGCCCCTACAATGCCGAAACCCCAGTGGCACCCACCATGGAAACTCTACAGGGTGAGTGAATCTGTATGTTACTCCACTGCATGAATGATGATTGCTTTCCACTTACCAAGAGCTCAGGAACAGAATAAGGAAGAAAAGGAGTGAACATGAGAACCGATCTGAGATGGGATGGGGGAAGGGTTTTAGGCACAATCTTAAAAGACATCTTAGGAAGGAGACTTCTTTAAGTAAAAACCATGTATATATATGCATATATATATATATATATGTATACATATATATACACTATTATACCATATTATAGTATACTACCGTACTACATATATACATACTATAGAATACAGTATAAAATGTTGACAGAAAGCTATTAAAACGTGGAGAACAGATGAAATAAATTTTCTAAGTGTTTGAAGTACTTAATATGAAGGCCAGGAGGAAGAACAACATGTAACGATATTTCTTTGGCCCTATTGATTATCTTTTCAATTGTATTAAATTAAAATCATTCAAAATGTACCAGATCTAAAATGAAATGTATATGGTAGGGAAAACATAGCTACACATAATTTAATATATACGTTGAATTTTAGTTCTCTAGTTATACACTAAAATAGACTTTCTTTTGGTGTACAGACCTAATAAATTTTAATAGATGTATAACTTCGGGTAATCACTGCCACAATCAGTATATAGAAGTTCCATCAACCCAAAAAACACTCCTGTGCTATTATTTTGTAGTCATACCTTTCCGTACCCCTGGCAACTGTTCACCTGTTTTCCATACTATAGTTGTGTTTTTTTCAATTTTGTTATATAATGGGATTATACAGTATGTACCTTTTGAGACTGACTTCCTTCAGCTTAATGCCTTTGAGAGTCCTCCAAGTTGTTGCATGTATTAATATATTCCTCTTTATTGCTGAGTAGTAGTCCATTGTATAGCTATGTCATAGTTTGTGTGTATCTATTTACTGATTGAAGGTAGTATTTATAATCTAAAATCTAATTGTCAAATAATTTTATAAATTTATTTGAAGATAGGAGGGGCTATTCAAACTTGACTTCTGTGTCATAAATTGAAATTGAATAAACTCTAACTTATGTGTAATGAGTCTACCCATTCTACCTTTTGTTTTATACAGGTGATCAGTGGGCATCTTGGCTGGGTTCGCTGTATTGCTGTAGAACCTGGAAATCAGTGGTTTGTAACTGGATCTGCTGACAGAACTATAAAGGTAATAGGAAGGAGGAAGAAAAAAAATTTACGACTTTTTATTTGCTACATAAATTTAATCTTATTTTCCTAGGTGGGAGTTGCTGTTGGAGTTCCTCTGATTTCTTAGACCTGAGTATGGAGTAAAACTTACTTTCTTTATCAGTTCGGTGTTCCAAATAAATATGTTTGGAAAGTGGTATTTAAATAACAGGTTTTTCTCTCCTCTGATTGCAGAATTCAAGCATGCTTATATATAAAAAAATGTGGAAAATAGAAGTATAAAAGAACACAAACCCATACATAATCCAACACTCAGATAATTTGAACGAATTTCTTTTTAGTATTTATTTCTGTGCGTATGTGTCATTACATTTCCATCTGAGCTTTTTTCCTGTGTGATTAAATGTGTATCTTTAAAAAAATCATGATGGGGCGCCTGGGTGACTCAGTCAGCTAAGCAACCGACTCTTGGTTTCAGCTTAGTTTCCAATCTCAGGATTGTGAGATCAGGCCCTACATCAGGCTCCTTACTCAGCACGAATCTGCTTGAGACTCTCTCCTCCCTTTGCTCCACCCACCCCTCCCCTGTGCGCACACACTCTCTCAAATATTAAAAAAAATACATAAATAAAAAATCATGATTGATATGTGATTTTGTACTCTGCTTTTTTTCCACTTAATATATCAGAGGCATATTTTTGTGAAAAAATGAACTTTTTAAAAATGGTTTCATGATATATCATTTAGATATTCTGTAATCTTCCTATTGTTAGACATCGAAGTTTTTAGTTTCTTGATTTTCACTATCACAATGCTATAATTTTGTGCTTAAAGGTTTTTGCTGTATTTTAAATTATTTTGTTATGACAGATTCCCAGAAATGGAATTAATGGGTCAAACATTTTTGAAGTTCACACCCAAAGTACAAATTATTTTCCAAAATGGGTGAATTGATAATTTGCAGTGTATGAGAGGATCCTTTTCAACACACTGATTGTGTATCTTTCAAAATATCTACTAACGTGTTAAGCAGAAATGGTTATCTAATCTTTTAAAAACTGTCGATAAAAAATTTCTAGTGGGGTTGAATTTTTTGATACCTAATAAAGCTGTTCTTAGGTTTTTTCAACATGTATATATTTTTTTATTGAGGTATAATTGTATACAATATTATATTAGTTTTAGTTTATATTACAGCATAATGATACAATATTTGTATATGTTGTGAAATCACCACAACAAATCTAGTTAACATGTCACCATACATAGTTACAGAATTTTTTTTCCTTGTAGTGAGAATTTTAAGATCTACTCTCAACAACTTTTAGATATGCAGTGCAGTATTATTAACTATAATTGCCATGGTGAACATTATATCCCCACAACTTACTTATTTTGTAACTGGAAGTTTGCATCTTTGACTCTTTACCCATTTCACCCACTCCCCACCCCCACCTCTGGCAACCATTGATCTGTTCTCTGTATCTGTGAGCTTGGGTTTTTTTGTTTATTTGTTTTTAGAGTTCACTTATCAGTGAAATCACATAGTATTTGTCTTTCTTGGTCTGACTTACTTCCCACAGCATAATGCACTTGAGGTTCACCCATATTGTTGTAAATGGCAAGATTCCATTCTTTTTCATGGCTGAATGATAGTCCGTGTGTGTGTACATAGATATGTATAGACACCACATTTTTTCTATCCATTCATCCTTTGATGGACATTTAGGTTGTTTCTGTAGGGTTTTGTTTTTTTGTTTTTTTTCTAAGTTGCCATCCTTGCCTAAGTTAATGTAGTATTCATACTTTATCTGTGATATCCTTTTATATGTTAAGATTTTGTCACTTACTGCAAATATTTTCCCAGTTTGAACATGCTTTTTAATTCTATTTTCCCCTGCTTAACAAGGGAGGAGATTGGTGGGAGATTATTTTGCACATTTTTAAAGTTTTATATGTTTATAACTTTCAATTTTTGAATATTTAATTTTAATGTTCAGAATCTAAATATTTGCTTTGGGATAATTAAGAAGAAAAATTAAATATTCTTTGATTGCAGATCTGGGACTTGGCTAGTGGCAAATTAAAACTGTCATTAACCGGGCACATTAGTACAGTGCGTGGTGTGATAGTAAGCACGCGGAGCCCTTACCTGTTCTCCTGTGGAGAAGACAAACAAGTCAAATGCTGGGATCTTGAATATAATAAGGTAAGCTTGGAGTTAAGGGTTTAAAACATTATGAACCACCATTTTCCTTTATAATTAGAGAGATTTTAACTTTTCTGCTTTATTTTTAGGTTATAAGGCACTATCATGGACATCTAAGTGCAGTGTATGGTTTGGATTTGCACCCAACAATTGATGTGCTGGTAACCTGTAGTCGGGATTCAACTGCACGGGTAAATGGAATAGAACTTTGTGTTTCTTTGTAAATATATTGCATCTTCCACTATGCGTATTTGGTCATGGAGTCATATGTTATTTGTTAGAGAATTCAAGATAGTTGCCTTGACCAGCAGTAGCCCTATCCCTCAGTTTCTTGACTCCTGTGTTTTTCCACCTTCATTTTCAGTTCTGTGGCCTCATCATGTTTATTATTGGGAATATCCTGCCTCTGAAATGGGACACTCACACATTCCATTCCATCACTGCAACAGTTTCCATTAGCTGTTTCCTTTAGTAGTCTCATTATACCCATTCTTATACTTTCAGCACCCTGATCTTTTAGGGTTTTATTTTTTCCTGTTAGCTGCCTATCTATATTGCCCATCCGGCTTACAGATCATTATCTTTCTTTGAAACGATTTTTCATTCTATTCAGGCACAGTTGTCTGGTAAATTCGCAGCTTTGAATTGGTCCAGTTACCTGCCTGAGATATGAATACCTGTTGTCCCTGACAGTATGTCCCTTGTGTTTTTATAGATTTGGGATGTGAGAACTAAAGCCAGTGTACATACGTTATCCGGCCATACAAATGCAGTTGCTACGGTGAGGTGTCAAGCTGCAGAACCACAGATTATTACTGGTATGATTGATACTTTCTAAGTTTACAGTGTATTTGATCAGAATGCATTATATAAAATCATAACATACACTTTTCATATTCACCAGTGACTCTTGCTTTGTTGCAGAGGTACATTGTTTCTGTGTGCATTTGAAATTTACTATGGTAACATTTCATTTGATTGTTTTTATCTCGTACTCTTTATGTATCACAGAATATGTCATACTCAATATCATGTAATGTCTGACTAGAAAATGGTGCTGTTAGATAGATTCAGACATTGTTTCATAGTAACAGAGTTACTGTCTAGGAAACTGAAGCCAAAAGACAAAATACCCAGAGACCAATAACCTTTAGAGCTGGTTTGAATCTTGTTTTGCTAATGTTAAGATTAATAATAGACGTTATGAGTAGAAAATAATTTCTTCATTTGATGCATTTTGTTAATTAAAAATCGTTTGTTTTTTTCCTTCCGCTCCATGAGGGGTGACATCATGTATTTGCTGTATTTGTTAATCGCATTTGTTCTAGCTGTTCAGTTGACAGTGCTTCAAGCATTTACTGCATTTTTTTAGCATTAAATTTAAAACCAACCTAAAAGTTTGGAGCTGTAAAGTAATGAGCCAGGAGTTAGTATGACTTTCATTTAGTATGTATGTGTCTATGGAAGACTGACTCATATATTTTTACGTTTGATTTTTGCATTATTTTTCCTGATCTGCATTTTGTGGATGTGTGTTTTCATTATAGGAAGCCATGATACTACAATACGATTATGGGACTTGGTGGCTGGAAAAACAAGAGTCACATTAACAAATCACAAAAAATCAGTCAGGGCTGTGGTTTTACATCCAAGGCAGTAAGTGTATTAATTAGCTTCTCTTTTTTCTTCCATTTTTAGAATAAGTGTGGAAATACTAACAGTGCTACTTTGGTAGTCGTTTAGCCATTGTGATTTCCAGGCCTGTGCCACTTACGAACATGCATTTCTTTCATTTTTTCCCTATGTAGTATTTTGCTTCATGACCTATATATGATGAGGAAAATTTTCCACAAGGTGAAAAATGATAGTGTCAGATGAGACAATATGGCTAAGAGCTGCGTATCAAAGTAGAGGCTAATAGAAGATGGATTTAGTGTTTGACAGAAATGTTATTGGATACTGAGATCTACATAGAATAGTTTAATTCTTAAAGAGGAAGTTAGTATACATAGAAAAAAAAATAGTAGGAACCCTGAACATTATAATCAGGGTGTCCATAGAAGTGGAGAGTAAGATCACAACCTGTTAGTTAAATCACATCACCCTGACCCTTTTCTGGTCACATTGATACTTTTTTTCTGTCCTCCCTCTCCCCCTTATCCATTATTTCCTTCTTCCTCCATTTTTCTGTCTTCCTCACTCCCTTTGTTCCTCTCGTTCACTGTTTTTTTTTTTTTTAAAGATTTTACTTATTTATTTGACAGAGACACAGCGAGAGAGGGAACACAAGCAGGGGGAGTGGGAGAGGGAGAAGCAGGCTTCCCGCGGAGCAGGGAGCCCGATGCGGGGCTCGATCCCAGGACCCTGGGACCATGACCTGAGCCGAAGGCAGACACTTAACCAACTGAGCCACCCAGGCGCCCCTTGTTTACTTCCTTTTTCTCTCTCTTCCTCTTGTCCTCTGTTTCTTCCCTTTTCTCCCTCTCTTTCTCTATCCAGAATAGTTTCATAACCCCTTGTCCTTAATGTGAATTTAGGGGCTTGTACATTTGTGGCTTTAGCTTAGTAGAGAGCATTGGGGAAATGAGAAACATTAATCTTGGACTTAAAATACATTTAAAATAATCTGAAGATCTGATTTGACTTGGAACAAATGTCTTTGTGTTTTTACCTCTTGGTACGACAATAATATTTTGCTACATCTCTATAGATCCATAAGTACACATGTAGAATACAACCATAAAAAGCTTTTTTGAATTCACCATTTTATTTAGCTTGGTTTACTTAATCACGAATTCTTTTTCATCTTATTTCAGTTACACATTTGCATCTGGCTCTCCAGATAATATAAAACAGTGGAAATTCCCTGATGGAAGTTTTATTCAAAATCTTTCTGGTCATAATGCTATTATTAACACGTTGACAGTGAATTCTGATGGAGTGCTTGTTTCTGGAGGTAAAATAACATTTTAATAATAAATGTATTTTAGTCTTTTTTTCTTTTTGTAAATGAGTGAACATTTGTAAAATTTCTAAGCCATCCCACCTAAGTATTACAGCACAACTTGCCTGATTAATGTGTATTTGGGTGTTCCTATGTGTGTTCATGCATGTTTGTAATACATGTAGCATATTTCATGGTTTAGTCTTCTTTGAGTTCCCACATGATAAATCTAATGTATTCATGCTGAGAATTACCTAAATTTTGGTTGTGTATTCCAGAACTAGATAGCATTTTGTGGTGCTTTTTGAACTCTATAATAAATTCTGAATTAGACACACATGAAAGTAGACAAACCAATACTAAGAGAAGCTTGAGTGCCTGTGTCTTCTAACTTTAGTCTTTATGGTCACGGTGCTTGACTCATGGATGGTGCTTAAATGTTTGCCAAGCTGAATTGTTGAAAGGCTACCACGTTTAATTAGATTTTTTCCTTTAAGCTGATAATGGCACTATGCATCTTTGGGACTGGAGAACTGGCTACAATTTCCAGAGAGTTCATGCAGCTGTGCAGCCTGGATCTTTGGACAGTGAATCAGGAATATTTGCTTGTGCTTTTGATCAGTCTGAAAGTCGGTTACTAACAGCTGAAGCTGATAAAACCATTAAAGTGTATAAAGAGGATGATACAGCGGTAAGTTTTCTATTTCACATACATTTTGAAGTAAAATAAATCAACCATACCAGTTTTGCAAGTGCTTTCTCGTTTTAAAGTAATTCTTAATCTCAGGAAAAAAACTGAGGGTTGCTGGAGTGGT